ACAACCATCCGTAGCCCCTCACCAACACAGCAATCAGTAGCCTGTCATCAACAAAACCATCAGTAGCCCCTCCCTAACAAAACCATCAGTAGCCCCTCACCAACACAACCAGCAGCAGCCCCTCACAAACACAAGCATCCGTAGCCCCTCACCAACACAACAATCAGTAGCCCGTCACCAACACAACCATCCGTAGCCCCTCACCAACGCAATCAGCAGCAGCCCCTCACCAACACAACCAGCAGCAGACGCTCACCAACACAACTATCAGCAGCCCCCTCACCAACACAACCATCAGTAGTTCTCTGACCAACACAACCATCAGCAGCCCCTCACCATCAAAACCATGAGTAGCTCCTCACCAACACAGACATCAGTAGCCCCCTCACCGGCACAACCATCAGCAGCCCCCTCACCAACACAACCATCAGTAGCCCCCTCACTAACACAGACATCAGTAGCCCCCTCACCAACATAACCATCAGCAGCTCCTCACCATCAAAACCACCAGTAGCCCCTCACCAACACAGACATCGGTAGCCCCTTCACCAACACAACCATCAGTAGCCCCCTCACCAACACAGACATCAGTAGCCCCCTCACCAACACAACCACAGCAGTCCCTCGGCAACACCACCACAGTGCTTTGCCTACCAGCAGGTCTATACAACATTCACTACTTCTATCAGCTATGCTAAATGATTCAATCGTCGGCCCCAATGAGGCTTATCAGTGCGAGCTGGGATGATTACATCCCCAGCCACTGACACACGAATTACTGCTGATTAATTTGCTACTTACGATGGTACCTAGCCAGCTACAGTCCATTACCAAGGCGTTAGAGGCGGCATGGTCAAGCCAGGAAAACAGTGCGGCAGAATCTGCAGGATTGCAGGCTTGACTTAAGGTCCTTGTAACTCTAATCTTGATCACCGCCTCTGACTCTTCAGAAGAAAATTTAAATAGCATGAAGTGCCCTCATTGAGGCTGGAGGACGTTCAAGAGCAGCATTCTCATTAACCTGGAGGACGTTCAAGAGCAGCATTCTCATTAACCTGGAGGACGTTCAAGAGCAGCATTCTCATTAACCTGGAGGACGTTCAAGAGCAGCACTCTCATTAACCTGGAGGACGTTCAAGAGCAGCACTTTCATTAACCTGGAGGACGTTCAAGAGCAGCACTCTCAATAACCTGGAGGACGTTCAAGAGCAGCACTCTCATTAACCTAGAGGACGTTCAAGAGCAGCACTCTCATTAACCTGGAGGACGTTCAAGAGCAGCACTCTCATTAACCTTGAGGACTTTTAAGAACAGCACTCTCATTAACCTTGAGGACTTTTAAGAGCAGCACTCTCATTAACCTTGAGGACTTTTAAGAGCAGCACTCTCATTAACGTGGAGGACTTTTAAGAGCAGCACTCTCATTAACCTTGAGGACTTTTAAGAGCAGCACTCTCATTAACCTGGAGGAGTTTCAAGAGCATGTTGCACTCTCATTAACCTGGAGGAGTTTCAAGAGCATGTTGCACTCTCATTAACCTGGAGGAGTTTCAAGAGCATGTTGCACTCTCATTAACCTGGAGGAGTTTCAAGAGCATGTTGCACTCTCATAAACGTGGAGGAGTTTCAAGAGCATGTTGTACTCTCATTAACCTTGAGGAGTTTCAAGTGCATGTTGCACTCTCATTAACCTGGAGAAGTCAAGAGCATGTTGCACTCTCATTAACCTGGAGCTTCAAGAGCATGTTGCACTCTCATTAACCTGGAGTTTCAAGAGCATGTTGCACTCTCATTAACCTGGAGAAGTTTCAAGAGCGTGTTGCACTATCATTAACCTGGAGAAGTTTCAAGAGCATGTTGCACTCTCATTAACCTGGAGGAGTTTCAAGAGCATGTTGCACTCTCATTAACCTGGAGAAGTTTCAAGAGCATGTTGCACTCTCATTAACCTGGAGGAGTTTCAAGAGCATGTTGCACTCTCATTAACCTGGAGAAGTTTCAAGAGCATGTTGCACTCTCATTAACCTGGAGAAGTTTCAAGAGCATGTTGCACTCTCATTAACCTGGAGGAGTTTCAAGAGCATGTTGCACTCTCATTAACCTTGAGGAGTTTCAAGAGCATGTTGCACTCTCATTAACCTGGAGAAGTTTCAAGAGCGTGTTGCACTCTCATTAACCTGGAGTTTCAAGAGCATGTTGCACTCTCATTAACCTGGAGGAGTTTCAAGAGCGTGTTGCACTCTCATTAACCTGGAGTTTCAAGAGCATGTTGCACTCTCATTAACCTGGAGGAGTTTCAAGAGCGTGTTGCACTCTCATTAACCTGGAGTTTCAAGAGCATGTTGCACTATCATTAACCTGGAGGAGTTTCAAGAGCATGTTGTACTCTCATTAACCTTGTGGAGTTTCAAGAGCATGTTGCACTCTCATTAACCTGGAGTTTCAAGAGCATGTTGCACTCTCATTAACCTGGAGTTTCAAGAGCATGTTGCACTCTCATTAACCTGGAGAAGTTTCAAGAGCGTGTTGCACTATCATTAACCTGGAGTTTCAAGAGCATGTTGCACTCTCATTAACATGGAGGAGTTTCAAGAGCGTGTTGCACTCTAATTAACCTGGAGTTTCAAGAGCATGTTGCACTCTCATTAACATGGAGGAGTTTCATGAGCGTGTTGCACTCTAATTAACCTGGAGTTTCAAGAGCATGTTGCACTCTCATTAACCTGGAGTTTCAAGAGCATGTTGCACTCTCATTAACCTGGAGAAGTTTCAAGAGCATGTTGCACTTTCATTAACCTGGAGTTTCAAGAGCACGTTGCACTCTCATTAACATGGAGGAGTTTCAAGAGCGTGTTGCACTCTAATTAACCTGGAGTTTCAAGAGCATGTTGCACTCTCATTAACATGGAGGAGTTTCAAGAGCATGTTGCACTCTAATTAACCTGGAGTTTCAAGAGCATGTTGCACTCTCATTAACCTGGAGTTTCAAGAGCATGTTGCACTCTAATTAACCTGGAGTTTCAAGAGCATGTTGCACTTTCATTAACCTGGAGTTTCAAGAGCATGTTGCACTCTCATTAACATGGAGGAGTTTCAAGAGCGTGTTGCACTCTAATTAACCTGGAGTTTCAAGACCATGTTGCACTCTCATTAACCTGGAGTTTCAAGAGCATGTTGCACTCTCATTAACCTGGAGTTTCAAGAGCATGTTGCACTCTCATTAACCTGGAGAAGTTTCAAGAGCATGTTGCACTCTCATTAACATGGAGAAGTTCCAAGAGCATGTTGCACTCTCATTAACCTGGAGTTTCAAGAGCATGTTGCACTCTCATTAACCTGGAGAAGTTCCAAGAGCATGTTGCACTCTCATTAACATGGAGAAGTTCCAAGAGCATGTTGCACTCTCATTAACCTGGAGAAGTTCCAAGAGCGTGTTGCACTCTCATTAACCTGGAGTTTCAAGAGCATGTTGCACTCTCATTAACCTGGAGAAGTTCCAAGAGCATGTTGCACTCTCATTAACCTGGAGTTTCAAGAGCATGTTGCACTCTCATTAACCTGGAGAAGTTCCAAGAGCATGTTGCACTCTCATTAACATGGAGAAGTTCCAAGAGCATGTTGCACTCTCATTAACCTGGAGAAGTTTCAAGAGTATGTTGCACTCTCATTAACCTGGAGAAGTTCCAAGAGCATGCTGCACTCTCATTAACATGGAGGAACATTTCCAAGTATTAGTAAGTGCAACAGCTAAGAATGAAGTTGACATCAGCTGTGTATCAGAGGCTCGTAGCTTAGTTGTAGCACTTTCTACTCACAATCAAAGAATTCGGTTTAGATCCTGGGACAGGTGTAAATGTTGGCAAGTTTCTTTACACCTGTTGTATATTCACAAAGCAGTAAATAGGTATTCTGGTATTTGCCCATTGTTGTCGGTCAATCCTGGGAAGACGGGGAGTCCTATATCCTAGATAGGGTCAGGCTTTGATAAGAGATGTGATAGAATAACAACTCTTAACCTGTAAACTGAAACATTATATGAAAGGCTAAGAGTCAACAGAATGTTTAGCCACAGGATATGTGAAGCTGCCTTTAGCGGGAGAGAGAGAGAGAAAGTCTTGTCTCTCTAGTCAGATTTCAGTGTCCACCGATACTGCAGTTGATGTGTGTCTGGCCGATGTGCTCATCCAGCTAGTGATTTAATCGGGGTTTGAGGAGCAGCCGGCGGTCCGTCACACATGAGAAAGTTTGTGATGACAGGACCATCCTCAGAGATCTTGCTCCACTGATGTTCACCGCCACCTGTACTCTCTGGACCATGATCTTTCTTCTCATATATTTCACTCTCTCTCTCTCTCTCTCTCTCTCTCTCTCTCTCTCTCTCTCTCTCTCTCTCTCTCTCTCTCTGCTTTTTTTTTATTAAATATCGTTCTATCGTACTGTATATCTCTGTCTACTTTTTTTCTGTGGATTACTATTTGAGTCTCAACTCTTCTTTCTATTTCTTCTCTGTATCTATTTATTCAATTTTCCTCTTGTCTTTGCAGCTTTCTCCCCTACCTACAAATCACTCGAGGTTTTCAGTAACTAATTTCCATTTTTCTCCTCTGGCGCACGATTTGCGTTGCATTGGGCGTGTCCCTCTCCTCCTGACGTGTGCGTCTGGCTGTGGTGCAAATAAAGGAGCCACACTTGGTTCGCATCCCGTTTGGGCTAAGCAATGAATGAGCTCAGAGCGCTAAAGCTGCACTTCTAAGACCCTGATGTATATCCTCTCATGGTGTGGACTCAGAGAAACTGGTTGATGTTTGCTAATAGCGATGCATTTGGCGGGCTGAAGAAGCTTACTGTGTGTTGAGAGGACCCGGGTCGCTGCAAGACCAAGTTCAGGTACCCCAGGTGATGATGTGGCTCTAGGGAGGTTTGTTGCGAATTTGGTTGCTTCCGAGTTTTTGATGTTTGTTGTATACCCAGTATTTTATTTATTATTAGGTCAGTTTTTGTTATGATTCTTCAAGATACCTATACTGGAAATTAATGAAGTATTTTGTGCTTCCCCACAGATGGTTGAAGACTGTGTAACATCGAGGTCATCCAAGATGACACAGAGTGAGCAGGAGGTTCCTCGGCAGCACTTCTTTCAACGTGAAGGGTCGCGAGTATACTACGCTTCAGAGACTGGTTGCTGGCCAGCCAACAGCCTCCCAAGAACTTTCTGGACGCGCCACAGAAGCACCAGGGAATCTGTTATTCTGGAGGCAAAGGAGGACGGTTCTAGTTCTGGAGAGGAAGCACTGGAGGGCGATGCCTCTCCAGGGGGTTCCTTTCGGGAGTCACTGAGAGGGTTTCCTTCTCACCGCTCACAGGATTCTGGATATTCCGACTCCGGGGAGTCCACAAACGCTCAAAACGATAGCGACTCTCTTCCGACGACCCCGCCCAACGTGAAACACATCACCCGCGTCTACTTCGGAGAAAATCCATGCTTGTACAATGACAAGATTGTTTGTGTTCCTAGTGTAAACATAAACACAGTAGCGTCAGCCTCTGTCGTAGACGATGCTACCCACTCAAAGACTAGTCCTTGCAGGAACTACAGGCATGACAGAACAGCTAATTTCGAAGAATTGGCAGAGGAACTGGAATACAAGAGTGTGTTAGATGCCGCAAACAGGCGTACAGGTGCCGTTAGGAAACGAGTCAGTGCCACTACGGCTTCCGTGGCTCAGGGACGGCTACAGAGACGCAGTAGTAGTGCCGAGAGCCTTCTTGCAGATGAGCAGGTTGATCATGACCGTCGGCTGATAGCTGCTAGAACACGGCGACGTTGGTCTGTGTCTGATATGCAATATCAACACACAAGGATCAGCAGACAGCAGAACGTGGCGCCATCCCATGTCTCCTGCGGCACCAGCACCCACGTAACGTGTGGTACCAACACTCAAGTATCATGCAACAGCGGTGGCCGCAGAGCCGACACCAAATTAATGAGAGGAGCCACTGATCTGTTGTCCCTAGAATGTCTAGATGGCCCAGTTAACTCGTCCCGTCTTGCGAGGGAGACGGATATAGAAACTGTATTCACCTTCCCTTCCTCCAGATCCTTCATGCAGTCAAGGATACATCCCGTAACATTGTCTCAGGAGATGAGGTGAGTACCACACATCCTGCAGTTGTTTGCTGAGATTTTTGGTTAGGAGAGAGGATGAAGATCAACTCGGAACAGAATGCGCTTACAAACACACTAGCACACACACACACACACACACACACACACGCACACACACACACACACACACACACACACACACACACACACACACACACACATACACACACACGCACACACACACACACACACGCACACACACACACACACACACACACACACACACACACACACACACACACACACACACACACATAGAGGCTCCTAAGCTCATCTGGACTTTGAAAACCATTCAGTATCTTACATGTATTTAATAGTGATTTGTAGTGCAGAACAGGTAAGAGATGCTCGAAACCTCAAATGTTATACGCCAAGGACCCACTCTCAAAATATTTTTATGGTATTTGTACTGATGAAGTAAAAGCGATTCTGAATACTGAAAACCATGGTTGTTATCTATGACTTGTTATATAAGAACTATGCCAGAGACCTCACTCTCGGGCCCGTTTTCCTGACGAAATGGTACAGTAAAGCTTGAAAAAACGTATATATACACTGTGCACAGTCCATTCTGCTCCTCAATCCAACTCGCCCATCTCCCCTCCACCCATCCCCTTACCACCATCCTATCCTTCCATTCACTTAACACATTTTTTTTTGTCTTACTAACCTATCCCATTCATCACCAAAGTCGTTCACCCAATCATTCTCCCGCTCATCCACTATCACCACCCCAGCACCACGATCACCACCACCACCATGATCACCACCACCATGATCACGCACTACGATGACCACCTCAGCGTGCCCTACATTCACCACCATTACCAACAAAGTCTGCTGTACATCCACCAACAAGATCACCATATCAGCTTATTCATCCATCTACCATCCCTACAAAACTTTCCCCCATTCCCATTTACCTTCACATCATCCTAAATGTTTGGCGATTCCCAATGAATAACAACAATGCTGCTACTACTACTACTACTATTATTATTACTACTACTGCTACTACTACTACTACTACTACTACTACTACTACTACTAATAATAATAATAATAATAATAATAATAATAATAATAATAATAATAATTACTTTCGGATTAGCAAAAAAAAAAAAAAAATAGCTCACAACTCCCTCTCCATCACCCATTTAGTATTCACACAGCCTACCCATCCACCCACCACTAATTCAAGACACGTCAACCCACTTCCAGCACCCAGCCTACCCACCCCATCCACCACTCTCATCCCATCCATCCAATGACTCCTCCTAGTTCCACAATATATATTTATCTTTGGAGTATGTATACACGCTGGCTGTCGGGGACCTTCAAGGACGCCTCTTATACCAAGTAGTCACCATCTTGGCACACAAGACGAAAGTGTTCACACACACACACACTGAGGATGTACAAGTGTCATTATTTACTCCCTAAAATTGTGTTTTAAAGGCTTTGCTTTGCTGGAAGATAAATTGTTCTGTTCCTTATCTCGTGATCCATAACAAAAATACCACAGCTAACTTTTTTGGCATCTTTATAGAGCGTCTGAGACCTTTTTTTTCCGGCCAGACTTGAAGTCAGATCCTTGATTCCTCAAAGTGCCTTCTTCCAAACCAGACGTAATCGGGTCTTAACATTCACAGTTGTCGTCAGGGAAGGTACTAGCTCAATCTTCGGATGGAGGATCGAACCTCTATTGTTTCACGCTATTACTGTTCAGAGTTCCAACTGTAAACTCTCGAAGGCTAATCTAACAGTCTTTCAGAGATTCCTGTATGACCCTAGAAGGTAGCCTCTATCAGTGTCTAGGGGAATAACGTGGGAGCCTTGTCGCTCTGTCTTTGAGGCAGCGTGGAACATCCAGCGCCTCTTCCCCGCCAGAGGACATGAAAAATACACAGCCAGGAGAGGACAATGGACCGAGGTATTTATAGAGATGATATGTGTGCTGTTGGTGCTGCTGCTGCTGCTGCTGCTGCTGTTGATGCCCCTGTGAGTGCTGAGGCATTCATGTGTGTGTCTCAATCACCCAGTGACACATTAATCTGTGTAACGTTTCCTGGTCATCCGCTGACACTCCCCTGTGTTACGTGTTCTGGTCACTGATACACACCCTCTAGCTCCCCACGTCCTGGTGGCCCGATAACACGCTCACTAGTACCATGTGTCCTCGCCTCCCACTGACAGATTAGTGCCACGTGTCTGATCCAGCCTCTGACAAAATGAGTAGATCTTGCGCTGTAGGTTTTTTTAACACAATTGGGTTTATCAAGTATCTGTGGCAACACCAAAAACAACTGGAATAGTCATGTAATTGGAGCGGTTCCGTTTTTTTTTTATTATTAACACATTGACTGTTTCCCACCAAGGCAGGGTGGCCCGAAAAAGGAAAACTTTCATCATCATCATCATTCACTCCATCACTGTTTTGCCAGAGGAGCGCTCACACTACAGTTATAAATCTGCAACATTAACACTCTTCCTTCAGAGTACAGGCACTGTACTTCCCATCTCCAGGACTCAAGTCCGGCCTGCCGGTTTCCCCGAATCCCTTCATAAATGTTACTTTGTTTATACTCCAACAGCCCGTCAAGTCCTAAAGAGCATTTGTCTCCACTCCTAACACGCTCACGCATGCTTGCTTGCCCCTCGCACACACAAAAAAACTCCTTTACCTCTCCCTTCCAACCTTTCCTAGGCCGACCCCTACCCCGCCTTCCTTCTACTGAGATTTATACACTCTCCAAGTCATTCTATTTCGTTTCACCCTCTGTAAATGCCGGAACCACCTCAACAACCCCTCCTCAGCCCTCTGGATACTGCTTTTAGTAACCCTACACCTCCTCCTAATTTTCAAACTACGGATTCTCTGCATTATATTCACACCACACATTGCTCTCAGATATGACATCCCCAATGCCTCCAGCCTTCTCCTTGTTGGAACATTCACCACCCATGCTTCACATCCATATAAGAGCATCGGTATAACTTTGCTCTCATACATTTCCCTCTGTTTCCATGGATAACGTTCTTTATCTCCACAGACTCCTCAGTGCTCCAGCCATCTTTTTCCTCTTGTCAATTCTATGACTGACCTCATCTTTCATAGACCCATCTGTTGACACGTCCACTCCCAGATATCCGAGTACATTCATTGCCTCCATACTCTCTCCCTCCAGTCTGATATATAATCTTTCGTTACCTATTTTTTTTTATCCTAATTACTTTACTCTTTCCTATATTCACTTTTAATTTCCTTTTTACGCACCCTACGAAACTCGTCCACAACCTCTGCAACTTCTCTTCAGCTTAAACTGTCTGCGATCAAACCAGCCAAGACCTGACACAAGTTCCCGAATAGTTAGCCTTAACCTAAAATAGAGACATGAGGCCACAGATTTATATACAAATATAGTAAAGCAGAAGATTAGGGACCACTTGTTTAAGCAGGTCATACTAACAGTTGTTAGCAACAGAGTTGGGGAAGACATCCCTGTACCAAGGCGCCACAGTAGTGCTACTCCTCACTTCACTTTTCTGGCCTCATGGAAGTTGCCGTATGTTCTGTCCTCGTCAGGTTCTGGCTGATCCAGTCGTGTCAGATTTATATACAAATATAGTAAAGCAGAAGATTAGGGACCACTTGTTTAAGCAGGTCATACTAACAGTTGTTAGCAATAGAGTTGGGGAAGACATCCCTGTACCAAGGCGCCACAGTAGTGCTACTCCTCACTTCACTTTTCTGGCCTCATGGAAGTTGCCGTATGTTCTGTCCTCGTCAGGTTCTGGCTGATCCAGTCGTGTCAGGGAAGTAATTAATGGCAATTCCTACTCTAAAATAAAGACTGACATTTTATGTCGAGAATTTTACCGAAGCTGTCTCTGGTGGTGCTGTTGGTGCTTGTGCTGGTATTGTATGAAATGATGAGTTTAATGGCAAAAATAAGGTTTGTTTGCGGTGTTAGCTTCAGTGGTGGTTATTGATATCGATGGTGAGGGTTTTGGTGATTGTGAGTGGTAGTTGTGATGATAATAGTGACTGTATTGGGTGGTGTTGCTTCAACATTGGTCATATCTGCGGTAGTAGGGTCGATGTTGTTGCCAGCGGTAGAGAAGTTGGTAGTGGTATTGCTAGTGTTGGTGATAGCGGTGGAGAGGTTGGTAGTGGTGTTGCTAGTGTTGGTGATAGCGATGGAGAAGTTGTTAGTGGTGTTGCTAGCGTTGTTGCCAGTGGTGGAGTTGGAAGAGGTGTTGCTAGTGTGGATGGTAGCAGTGGAGAGGTTGGTAGTGGTGTTGCTAATGTTGGCGATAGCGGTGGAGAGGTTGGTAGTGGTGTTGCTAGTGTTGGTGATAGCGGTGGAGAAGTTGGTAGTGGTGTTGCTAGTGTTGGTGATAGCGGTGGAGAAGCTGGTAGTGGTGTTGCTAGTGTTGGTGATAGCGGTAGATAGGTTGGTAGTGGTGTTGCTAGTGTTGGTGATAGCGATGGAGAAGTTGTTAGTGGTGCTGCTAGCGTTGTTGCCAGTGGTGGAGTTGGAAGAGGTGTTGCTAGTGTGGGTAGTAGCAGTGGAGAGGTTGGTAGTGGTGTTGCTAATGTTGGTGATAGCAGTGGAGAGGTTGGTAGTGGTGTTGCTAGTGTTGGTGATAGCGGTGGGGAAGTTGGTAGTGGAGTTGCTAGTGTTGGTGATAGCGGTGGAGAGGTTGGTAGTGGTGTTGCTAGTGTTGGTGATAGTGATGGAGAAGTTGGTAGTGGTGTTGCTAGTGTTGGTGATAGCGGTGGAAAGGTTGGTAGTAATGCTGCTAGTGTGGGTGATAGCGATGGAGAGGTTGGAAATAGTGGTGCTAGTGTTGGTGATAGCGGTGGAGAAGTTGGTAGTGGTGTTGCTAGTGTGGGTGATAGCGGTGGAGAGTTTGGTAGTGGTGTTGCTAGTGTGGGTGATAGCGGTGGAATGGTTGGTAGTGGTGTGGCTAGTATT